GATGAATGATGATGAGACACATGTCAGCACTCGAAACCGAAGTCCCGACGGAGCAATTTCGCGACCGGAAGTGTACTTTTCTTGAACTTTTTCAGGTCCCGGGAACTCCGATCTTCCTCAAAATTTGCAGAGAGCTAGGTGAGCATGTGGGGAGCATGGCCGGCCGTTTATCTTCCCAAGGGGGGGTGTCCAACCGTTTTCTAAAAAAGCTAATGGCTGGCCGGCCATTTCTGCAAAAAGCAGATGGCTGGCCAGCTATTTTTAGAGGCCGGCCGGCCGTGCCCTTTTCCTAGGGGCATTTTCGTCTTTTTCCTCTCCTTTTGCATGCCTTTCATCCAAGGCTTGAGGCCTATAAATGGCAGCCGAACCTCACTTCATTTCTTGCCTCTTTCAACACTTTTCTCTCCCGTTTTGAGTTTTACGCGCGTTTTCCAACGCCTCGCGCAAATTGTTTTCGTAAAAACACTTAGTTTTAAACACTTTGGAGCGATTAAATTCCGGCTTCGGAGCTTCTCTTTGCATTTTCACCACTTGAGGTAAGTTCATCTTAATATTTAGAATATTTTCTCGGGAGTTGACTTTTGTTGACTTTTTCCAATTTTTGCTCATTTTGCTCATTTTGCTCATTTTTGCTCCCCTTTTGCAGATTTCTGAAAATGGCGGGTACTTCTTCCCATGGTGGCGGTTTTTCAGGTGCTGGGGGGGATTTCGATCCCACGACTCTACCTCCGAGGACCCGACCTTTTATGCCCGAGAGGTACCGTCCAGCAGTGCACGTCCTCCCTCGTGCCGTTTTCCGTCATTTTACCAGTTTCGACGAGAGAGCACCCGCAGATTTGCTTCTTAGAGAGCCAGAGCAGCATCTCTCTCATGAGGCTCGAGAGGTATTTACCTCATCTTCTGTATTTTACATTTTGCGTCCTTGCCATGTTTAAACGATTAGCTTGTGACATAGTACTTTCCTTACATCTTTGAACATGTAGTTTCAACACTTGAAATTTTTGAACGTTCGGCTCATTAATTAATTGCGAACACACAGCCCACATTGAAACACACGGTTCAGACACCGATTTGTCGAACACGCAGCCCGAATTCAAAAGTGAACACACAGCCCACACTTGAAATGAAAGTTGAACACGCAGTCCAAAATTCAAATTCTCTGAACACGCAGCCCAGGTAGATAGTGAACACGCAGCCCACAAATTAACTGAAAGTTGAGAGTTGATTATATTGAACACACAGTCCATACACTTCGCTTCTGAACACACGACTACTTCATTTTATTTGTATGCAGCTTATTTCACTTCATCGGCACATAGCCCATTTCATCTTATTATTGACACATATATTCATTCTGAATGCAGGGTGGTTCCCGCAGTGTGCGAGGATATGGTTCCACCGCGGCGCGGGATTGGTATGCTGAGCTCCCGGAGGGCGTCAGGGAATTGATAGACTTGGCAGGGTTTGGGCCCTTCTGCGCCGGGTTGTCACGATGTCCTTCCAGGAGGACCTTGATGGTAGCCCTAGTAGAGAGATGGTGGGACACCACCAATTCCTTCCATTTCTCTGCTACCGGGGACATGACCATGACCCCTTTTGACTTTGCTGTATTGACCGGCCTTGATGTCGGAGGTTGGGCCATCCCATACGATGAGGATATGGGCGAGTGGGAGGCCGCCTGGATGTATTTGTTGGGGGCTCGCCCACCTGTTGATAGGGTTTCAGGGAGAGTCAGATACACTTGGTTCTCCTCCCATTTCCGGCGGGCGGAAATGGTGCCCGAGACTCCTGAGGAGACAGAGCAGTATGCTCGTGGCTTCCTGATGTTCCTCTTCGGGACTACCCTGTTTGCCGACAGAGGGAACACCATTGGGCTATATCTGCTGAGCGCTCTAGTCGACCTATCACAGGTCAGTAGATATGATTGGGGTGGCGCTGGCCTGGCTACCCTCTACTTTTACATGAGTGCGACCTCCCGCGAGCGGGGCGATTTGCTTGGCGGCTACTGGAGAGCTAGGGAGGTACTTTCTGTCCCCTTGATTTACATTTCTGCTTCTCAATACTTGTACATTGCACACACACAGTGCACTTTTACAGTCTGTATTTTGCTCTCAGCACCTCATACTTACATTCTGCACTACTTTTCCCAGCTATGGGTGTATGTATACTTCCCATCGTTGGCCCCAGAGTTGGAGGTGGTGGGGATTCCTGTGACCCCATATTCATTGATATTTGAGGGCCCGCACCGGGCGAGGCCTCGAGAGACCCTGGTTCGCCTGCGAGAGTACTTCGACACTGTGCGACACTCAGAGGTACTTCAGAACTTTCAGTTCTTTTCGTTTTCATCTTTGATTTGCCCTGTATATTCTCGTTCTCTGATTGGTTTATACATTTATCATCCACAGATTACTTGGCAGCCTTGGGCACCTCTAGGTGATGATCTCCTACTTCAGTATACCGGAGCATCAGGCATCTCCCGGTATAGGGTCCTGCTCGAAGGGCCAGTCAGCAGAGTCTGGTTCTTGGGGGAGCGCTTTCTGTGCCAGGTACGGGGGCATCTTTCTCAGGACGTTCCCGCGGTACCTCCAGCTAGTATGCGGACCGCTGACAGGCTCTCTTACTCAGAGGTAGTCGGCGCCATGTTGGGCAGCGATGCTTTGCTATATGTTGCAGAGGGGGACTACGCCACCTATCGTCACATATATTTGATGCCTCCATTGACAGAAGCTCGTATTCCGATGATGAGACCTGCCGGTATGTCATCCTCGGATCAGGCTCAGGCTCGGGGTACAGACATCCCTTCTTCTAGCAGGGCTGGCACATCTAGAGGTGGGAGTAGACCGTTTCCTCCGAACCCGTCGATTCATTCTCATCTGGGATGGCCAGATATGCCCACTGAGTTGATGGCGTGGCAGTACGGGGCTAGCTCTCCGATTCCGATTCCACTAGAGCCACTGATGCCCAGCGATCGATATGCCATCGATCCGGACTCACCGCCGGTATGCTCCACTTTCATTTATCATTTCGGATATTTAGACACTCTTCTGTTCACTGATGATTATGAACTCATTTTTGCAGCCATCGCGAGGGTACATGGAGGAGATGGTTGGGCTGGTGGCCACACTCGAGGGCATGGTCCTACGCAGGGAGGCACAGTTGTCCGTCGCGGGCATTCAGGTACCCTTCAGTTTTTTTTTGGCATTTATCATACTTCTGATGACATGCTGATTTCTATTGCATCGATAGACTACTTGTGTAGAGCACATCTGACACACAACTCACTTGTACACTGTAGTTACATGCACCCACTTCATGTAGCTTTTGCTTATACTTGTATCCGATGTACATATTTGGACTGATGTATTTGATTTGAACTCCTTGTTTCATGTAGCTTTTGCTTGTATCTGCATCTGATGTATATATTTAGACTGATGCGTTTGAATTGAACTCTTTGTTTTCAGATGCCTTCATGGTCCGGTCAACCGCAGGCCAGGCCATCTGGGCCTCATTGGGGAGCTGGGCCATCTGGGCCTTATCAGGGTATTGGGGAGCTGGGCCATCTGAGCCTTTTCAAGGGGCGGGGTCATCTCGACCTTCCCGAGGAGCCGGGCCATCTAGGCCTTTTCAAGGAGCTCGAGGAGGGCCCGTCCGCAGACGCAGGGCTCACGTTGTGGAGGTGGAGTCTGATGAGGAGGAGGAGGATGTTGAGGCTACCGATCGTCAGTTCGAGACATCTGTTGAGGAGGGAGGCTCCGGTTTTGGCTCGGGGAACAGAGGTGAAGCTGAGGAGGATCCTAAGGATGACAGCCCCGACTCAGATGATGGCGTGGAGGTCGTCCCACCAAAGAGGACGAGGCGTGCTTCTCGTTCCCGCTCCCGAGGATTTTGATGCTGCTATTTCTTGCTTTATTTTTCTTTTTACTAGTAGTTTGTAGCACTTTGCACATTGTTAGGCAGTTTTATTTTTTGTAAAACTTGCACCTTTATTTGTTGTAAAGCATGATGAAATGAAATAGCTTTTG